TAAAGCCCCATGTCCCCAGCTCCAGAAAACATGGCTCTTAGAGTTGACAACTGAAGGACAGACAGGAGAGGTTTGAAGGGATGTTCAAGGGCAGAGAATTAGGTGAGGTTTCTCCTCGCTTGCACTCTCCCCTTCGATACTTAGACCCGATACCTATTTCAGCACCCACCTTCAGAGCACCCTGCGCCTGCCCACTGCGCTCCTGCCCAAGCCTCTCCCACGCAGCAACCCCATGGTGGGACCACCACGTCACCCGGAGCTTATCCAAAATGGAAATAGCTCTGCGAACAGCTGGCAGTCACAACATCTGGATTTGCAGTGGGAGGGTTTATCGGATCTTCTATGGGGGAGGCAGCTGCACCCCAGCTCCCTGCACCAGCACCTCATTGAGCAGAGGCTGCTCCTGGCACCCCCCACCCGCACCATCACCCATCCTCAGCTGGGATTTGCTCCAGCCTTGGGAACGGTCCTTCCCCTCTGCTCCAGGGTCCCTTCCAGCTCAGCAGGAGTTTTGGATTTTTGGTGAAAAACAGGAAATTGGGATATGGAGTTTTCTCCTTCACTCAAGGAACAAAACCGTTGCAAGCACTAAACCAAATGGGGCTTGTTTTTTTATGGCATGGGCTCCTTAGGCTGAGTGGCTCCACGAGAGCAAACGATAACTTGTTCCATGGTTGGAGCATTTCTCCTGTCGTGGCTTCGCTGGCGCGTGTCGGTGGAGCTGGCCATGGCCCGTCCCTGGGGGGACACCGCGACTGCAACTGTCCCGGGGGGCTCAAAGCTCCAGCAGCGAGGTACCGGCCTGTGACCTGCCCCAGCCCATAGCTCCGAGCGGGACCCCAGTGCCTCTCTGCAAGGTCAGTCATTCCTTCGCCAGCAGCTCAAAGCTCCCTTTACTGCTTTAAACACTTGTTTCCTATTAGTAAAATAAGACTGGTGAGAAAAATCTCTCCGGGTTGTTTAAACTTCTACCAGGGTTTACAGAAGAGGGGAGGGGAAGGGGGAGAGGCTGTGGGTTTCCCTAACCAGGACAGGCTATTA